TTTCTGTTTATAATCACTGACCCGGATGGCTGCCTTTAATAGCTTTATAAAGTGTCAGACCTCTTCAGCTTATGAAATCCCTTCAAAACCTAGTGGATAAAGTCAGTCACTCCATGGGAAAACTGATGCAGAATGCAAGAAACAGCCATTGACTTTAGACTGGAGGAATAGACAACATTTTTGAAATACCTGTCTAGTGTGGCACCACATAATGTAGGCTTCCAAAATGATCATACCAAACCAAACAGAACGATTTGGCAAACAAGCAACGATAATTTATTTTACAGTATACTAAACACTACAGGCTACAGGTTTAACCCCCATTATATGAGCAACGACAGACTCCACTGTCTCCTGAGTCCTGACACTCAGGACATTCTCAGCATCTGTACACAAGGATGATTTGGCTCTCCCCTGTAAGTCCGTTCTTGAACTACAAATCAACATTGTTGTGTGAGCCATAGAGGCCATCTCTATTGCTGCTATTCAGAGCCTGTAAACTGCATTTATCCTATCACGTCTTGTGTTCACAGTTTATATAGTTTTATATGGGTTGTAGACTGTTAATGATTGAGAGAGAAATGACCTAGAGATTTAATCAGGTATGAAAAGATGTCACGGTACGACTCAGGTGGCCTGGAGACGTCAGAAAGACTCACTGTGCGTACCCATTTCTGAGTAGGTTTTTTCTGAACATATTCAATGTAAACAGGGCTTTGCAAGTGTTACTCCAGTTCCAGTTAATATGGGGGATCCAAAAGAGACCGATTTAAAGAAAGAATGATCAAAATTCAAGCATCTATCCTGACTTTTAGTCGCTAGTTAGGAAAAAGCTCCAAAAGCACTTGATCCTACATTTCCCATAATGCAACTTTACAGCATCTTTCATTACACCTTCCCTCATGTTTTTTAAACACAATGCCCCAGTTTGTAACACATGCTTCCCACCATAAATCTGTAATCTCCAAGCCAAGGCCGAGATAACTCTGGTGACATCATTAGGGTTATTATTTTCATTTTCTTCTTCTTCTTCTTCTTCTTCGTACTCACTGGGTAGTGCTGAACATGACGAGTAGGCTGAGCATGGTGTTTATTATTATGTTATCTTTTAGAAAATACCCCAGTTAATCACATTTTATTTATTATTTTCAACAATAATATACCTTATCTTTTGGGGGGTGTCTAATTGCTTGTTTAGTAACATACCATGCTACTACTACGTGCTAATGCTGTCAGTCATTCATTTCTTCTCAGGCACAATTAGACCAACCTCTGGAGTTTGCCCTTACAGAACTACCCCCTGAAGCAGAGCCTTTAAGGGCAGAAAACTACCACTGGGTAGATCCACTAATCTCTCCTCCCTCTATTTCAGGGCCGGTGCCAGGCAATAGCTTCCTTGGTTGTGCTCAGTTATATGAAATATTACTACATTAAATTATTTTTCTCACTGCTGGAGAGGTCAGTTTGCCAGCTGGGCAGCGAGAGAACCTTTGCACACGTCTAAACACACACACACGCACACACACAGGCACCATAAACAGATGGTGTCACACACAAACGCACACACAGCTCCATGCACGAGACAGAGATATGTTGCTCACACATGACCAAGTCCCTTGGGTTGCTGGCCCAAAAATTACACTCCCTGATAGGCCATCATGTACATGTGTACAAAAGTGTCTCAAGCAAATCCTTTTTCCTTTGGATTCCCCTTTTTCTGCACAGTCATACAGTTTCCTCTTCACTTCGTCAGTCCTTCCCCCTCTCTTACAGAGGCAGGAGTGTGCTGTGGCTTCACACCTTGATAACTCACTCATCCATACACGACTGTAATCCACTCTCAGCCCGAGGTCTGCCCTATGTCTCTCTCACACACACACACACACACACACACACACACACACACACACACACACACACACACACACACACACACACACACACACACACACACACACACACACACACACACCAAAGTGCACCTGCGCTCCCCACAGAGATGTTATCAGTGCTTTGTCATGACTTATTGTCACTCAGCGATTTCATCCTCTCAGAGACCAATTATAATCGTGTTTCAAAGGAACGCTTTGAGAAGGCACAACGTGGACTGTCCGGTAAATGAATTTAGCCAAAGCACATTTCCAACATTTAAAGAAGCGATGGAATAGAGAGTAGCAGACTTTAAGGTGGGAACAGTTGCAGTATTTTTCCACTGTATTTATACAGAGTGGTAATAGACTCCTTATTTCCACTCACTGAGATCACATGCACAGCTGCGGCACACACTGCAGCTCAATATACAAACCATAAAATCTAAATCTAAATCTAATCCACTCATCTGTCTCTCTCTTTCTCTCTCTCTCTCTCTTTCTCAATCTCTTTGAAGAAAGCACACACACCCACACAATTGGTCACTTGAACACGCCCCAGATGTTCAAAGCGCTGTGAAAGAAAATGCAGTAAGGGCTTTCCACTCCTCTGATGCGGTCCCGGAAATAGCAGAGCGTCTCTGAACAAGAACGCAAAGGTTTCCCTAGCTGTCCACCACTTGAGGAGCAGCTTCCCTCTCTATAATATCAGGTGTCAAACACTATACTGTTAAAAATACACGTTTTGGTTTCAAATGGTACCACTTGCGTAATTATTCCAGTTTGGAAGACTTTTTTGTTTTTGTGCAGTTTTGCCAACATACAGACAGCCCTCCTGCATTTACAGTATCTGGCACTTGTGGCAATGTGTGGTTGATTAAAAGTTTCATGGCCACGACAAACCATTCACGGTCAGCACACCTTATCAAGAAGAGGTTGGGGCATATCGTATCACATTGTTCTCAGAGATAAGGAGGCCCCTCAAAAGCATGCAGAGCGCTTAAATATTTTTTTTTTTTAATTAAAAATTAACAGACAATGTTGCTACAAGATGCAGTTCCATCAACTCGTGCATATTGCATAAGCAAGAAGACTAATCAGACAACAGAAACGCCTGGTTTGGCATGTATTGTACTAATCTTTTGGTTCACCCAAAATATCTGCAACATCAGTATCATAGGTGTACACCTATATGGACTAACACTGCCACCTATTAACATCACGCAAAGTCACATAAATGTGTAATTTACAACAGCCCATTGCGTTGAATCAATTCAGCTGCTCCGAGGGTTATGGCCTACTCTCCCATTCAATGAACCCACTGGGAGCATTGGTCACTCAGTGTGCAGAACGTGCTGTACTGCTGGAATGACCATTAACAGCTGAGAAACAGGCTCATCTGGATCCACTGAATCATAGTCTCATGTGATATGTCACTATACGAGCACAACCAAAGCCTATTATCGGCTAGAACGCACTCGGCCGTCTGTAAAATGACACAGCAGAGGAGATTGAGGAAAAACCATATGTCACCACAGGATTACAGATAAAATGACAGGAAGGGGGGCAGAGTATACTATTGATGTACCATCCGATGTGCAGCTGACCTTAAAAAGAGAAATACGGTAAATCCTGTAGATATATTATAGGATTACAGCAGTGATATAGTAAATACAAAAATACTATTAAAGTATCAAGAAACTCCGCACTAAGCACCACAGATAAGTCCCTATAGCAGTATTATAAGGACATTATAATGATACCATAGGAGAATAAAAACGAGATAGCTTTAATTAAGCCACTCAACTCCCTGCTAAGTACCACAGATACACATTAAATCCCTACAGGAGTGAAGCAGGAGTACAGTGGTGGTATTTGAACAGATCTTCATTGGACTGCCCACTGGTTAGTGTGTGGGCCTTGACAGACGCTGACAGCCAACAGGACGCAGGGTGTTTACGTGGGTGAAACTAACAACTATTTTCATTATGGATTATTTTCTCAATCGATCGCTTTCTCAATAAGTGGGTCTATAAAATGTCACAATAGTGCCGGTTAGATTTTCCTGAAGCACAGGGTAGGATCTTAAAATGTCTTGTTTAGTGCGACCAACAATACAAAACCCAGTTAGCAGAGAAAATCCTCTCATTTGAAAGCTGAAACCGTTGAGTTGAGAACCACTGTTGGTTTGAAAACTGGTCCACACACACACACACACACACACACACACACACACACACACACACACACACACACACACACACACACACTTTGTACTGCTGTAGCCTTCAATGAAAACCTACAGTTTATATAGTTTCAGACGCATTAAAGCGGACAGTAAATGTACGAGTGTGTGTCTGGAGATTACCTCTGCACCTGAGGTCACTGACATGGAGGAGGAAAGCAAAGTCAATCTGAGGCTTTCTCATCCTACCTTAAGACATCCATATTCTCCACCTATAGGCCAGATCAGTGAAAGACTGCCCCTGTCCAAAAGCCCTTTACTAATACCAAAACCAATAATAAGCGAGCACAACTACAAAGTCAGTTTAAATTGATGTTAACATGATTACTGTTTATTTTTGACTAGGTCTGGTGACATGGCCACACCTCGAATCTGAACCGTTTAACTAATGCAGGAAAAGCAGCAATTTCAAACCACTTCAGCAAACACTCCTGCTATTATTACTGACTAAAGTGAGGAGTCAATGTGCACGAAACGTGTTTATAAGTCTGTGTAGCACGCTTTTGGAAAGAAACACATGCATACACAGCAGTGAAACACTGCACCTGTGTTATTTTGTTCTCTCACACCCAATCTGATACATCTCTCCACCCACACAGAGCAGCATCAGACATCTGACAAGGGTTGACACAGTGATGCTTATAGGCAGATGTCTGACAATGGCCAGTTGGGGATTAGATTAGGGGTACCACAGGGTCAACAGTCGGGCTTTTTCCAAGACAAAAACATGACACAAAATCAAGGTGGTATCGATCTACAGCTACAAACTCTACGTGTGCGTGTGTGTTGTATGTGTGTGTGTGTGTGTGAGGGACAGAAAGAACGAGTGAGAGAGGGACACACATATGCACTATAGGGTTATTAGACCGTGCTTATTAGAGACTTACTTCATCTGTTTGACGATGGTGCTTTTCCCTGACTCTCCAGCCCCTGAGGGATAAGAGACAAGAAGACAATGTAAACAGGGTGTATGTGTGTGGGGGTGTGTGTGTGTGTGTGTGTGTGTGTGTGTGTGTGTGTGTGTGGGTGTGTGAGAGCAAGATGGAGACAGAGTGTGAGAAAGAGGAGGGGGTGGGAGAGAGAGAGAGAAAGAAAGGGAGAACCAGCCCCTTCAAAACCTAAGAGAATACGGAGAGCAGCAGCAGGGTGGAGATGAAAAGATGGAGAAAGTGGCTGCACCCTTTCTTTCTCAACATCCTTTTTATTTTTTTATTCCCTCCGTCCTTCCATCCCCCATCTGTTAACTCGCAGTGGAATAAATTAAATACTTACAGGCTACTTTCTTTCCCACTAAGAATCAATCAATCAATCTCCCCAAAACCAATGAACCAACACTGCCTGTGCCCTCCACTGCTGCATACTGCCATTTTCCCCCCAGGCACCCATCTCATGTCAGTCCCCCCCCTCCCCAATATCTTTAATGGATAAAATCCAGGTGGCTTCAAAGTGATGTAATAAGAAGACAGGGTGTGTTTAGAGGGCCAGATGAAGCAAAGCAACGCCTCTCTGCCCCCATACGTTGGAGTTATGCTCATGTCATTAGTTACTGATGCTTCTAATATTTTTTATTATTTCTTTCCACCACTACCTTCAGTGATGATCATCTCTCCACAAACCCCCCACCCCCGCCACCACACACCACACCTTACACCCCCTCCCCAAGCGTTTCATGTCCCCGCCGTGGCTCTGCGGGCCCTGCGGGAGGGAATTGTCTTACCGAGCAGCAGCAGTTTGACATCTTTGGCCGCGGTGAGCCCGTCCTCCTTCAGGTTCTTCTCGATGGCTTTGCTCCGGTCCAGAGCCGCCCTCTCCTCTGCGCTCAGAGTACATCCCATGGTTAGAGAACACAGCTTGATAGCGTTACCGATACCGGGATCCACGGCAGAAAAGGCAGTGAAAACTGGATTCAATGAAACGGGTGCGTGAAAACAACGCTGGTATGCAAATCCCCCCTTTTTTTTTTTTTCTTCTCTTCTTCTTCTTCTTCTTCTTCTTTCTCTTTCTTGGTTAATTTCCTCCTCCTCTGTGCTGTGCCTTCGATCCCTCTATGATCCCTCTCTGTCTCTCTCTTTCTCTCTCTGGGCAGCTCCCTCTCTCTCGCTCTCAAGCCGGGGGACACGGCGCCGTTAAAGCATTTAAATCAAAGGATCCACTCGGTTTGATCCACGGCGCGAAAAAAAAAAGCCCAACCCCAGCACGATGTAGCCACCGCTGTAGTTCGCTTCTCAAGCGTGGTTCTCGGTGGTGGTCCGTCCGTCCTCCGTCTGTGAAATCACGGTAACGGTTCTCTTCCTCTCCGGCGGTCGGTAGTGTGTGTTACTGGGCGGCGGGGAGCAGCGCTCGCATCGTTTGATTCCAGCACGACGTTCTCACGGCGGCTCACAGCGGACCTTCCTCCGTTTGGCTCCTCCGGGCGGCGGGGACTCGCTCTGTAACGCTACTGCCTCCCGGTAGCTCCGGTAGGGACTCGGTCGTTCGTTAGTTTCATTCGTTCAATTGCAGTTCGGTGACGTCAGAGCTGCGAGGGAAGAGAGAGAGAGAGAGAGAGAGAGCACCCATACTCCCAGTGGCGCGGCCTGGTGGTGCACACTGGCACACACCTTCACAGGCTCCTTCAGCTGGAGTCGTCAGGGTTAAAGTACAGAAGGGTTAACAGCTCTGGTTCCCAAGCCTTTTCCTTAAGGGACCCCCTTTCTATCATCAACTGACGACCCCTGACTCACTATATTCAAACTGTACAATGAAGCCAAATAACTTTACAGTAACTGCAGGAAGTAGTTCTTGTAAAAGGAACAGGTTTGAAAGAGTGAGCCCACTGTGTATATTGGTTTAAGTTTTCGGACACCCCTTAAAATCAAGAAGGCCCCGCAACCCCCCGGGAAGCTTTAGCAACCCCTGGCAGGGCCCCCCCCCCGGGGTTGGGAACCTGCTTGGACAACAGACAACGTGCAACAGACGTGAAACAGAGATCGTATAAAGTCTGACTGTTCTCCTCAGATACTGCGATTTCCTTCTCACAATGGTCACTGAAGTCCCCATTAACTATTCACCTGAACAGTTTATGATGTTACATGGTATCATTAGGATCACTCAACATCCCAACATAGGGGGAGACATCACCTATTGTGTGTCCTCCTGTTTGGTTCAGGACATATGATGTGAAATACTCGGTTTGGTTATGGCAGAAAATAGAATGACTTTCTTTCTGAAAATGTTCAAAGCCTCAAACTGTAAAAGTGCAGCCAGTTTCATGAAAGAGTGAACGTATCACCTCAAATTTGGCACCAATCACCCTTTCATTCCAATGATAGTGTGGTTTGCACAGTAATAAGGTGTCCATGATCATCAACACCAACTAACTGACACATATATGTATAATAAAATAATATTATTACATACATACATACCACAAAGGGTTTATTGATTTTGTGAAATATATGCTGATGTAGTCGCAAACAATCAGCCCTGTGAGTCTCAAATTAAATTATCTTCAAATATGTATCTATTGAGTCTCCCACCAACTGACACATACAGTATGGCTTGGTTGTTTTTATCTGATAATAGCCAATGTATGTTGATTGCTGTTTTGTTTGTAAGGCCTCAGAAAATAGCAGTCTTAGCCAGAATTCATAATGCAAAAACAACATGACAAATGTATTGGATTTCATGGATCGTAGGGAACAAATCACTTGATGGCTACAGTAATGGCTAATGCTTGTTGGCAATATCTGGCACCCGACTGACATTTGCAGTGAAACTTGGAGGTTTCTCGTCCATCAGCATCAGCTCAATTTTTACATCTGTGGCATCAGCAAAGAGAAAATCTGCCGTCCAAAGTGCATTTTTCCACTCTGTGAAGCGCTCCAGTGCCTCTGTTATAGGCTTACAGATCCATTTAGATCTTGGTTATTATTCAGCTCAATCTGTTGACACGGTGTGGTCAGTTAATATTTAGCTAATCATTTAAAAGCTAAAAGAAGAGGAATGAATGTATTATTCCTTTTGTTTTTATCAGCAAACTCACGGAAGTTTGCTGATTTATTCACAGAATGTACCGAAGTCTCCCCAAATGAGATCTGTCATGTTCACAAATGTGTTTAAATCAACTTCTTCAAACATGATTTACATATTATTTGAATTAAATTGATACTGTTGATTCTCTCGTATTAATTAATATTAGAAATGTCTGTTCAAATAACACAAAAACCTGCAGCCCCACTCAGTTTGACTTTCTGTAGGTTGCTGACATTATGTGAAAACCCTGATCTGGTCTTAGCAAGGGTTACTCTTAATTCAATACAAATAAAGACGCCATGGTTGAGTAAGAAGGCAACACTTTTCACACATTTAGCCGAAAAATAAGTTGTTGTTGTGCACCCCACTCTGTAGGTCCATGCACCTTTTAGCTGCTCTCAGTTCATTGCTTTGGCTTTGTGGCCTGCACACAGACTCTAAGTTGGAATGTCAGGGCTCTCATCTGCCTACACATATGAAACCCCAGGCAGCTGTTTCCTGCAAAAACACTCACACAAGCTGCCCTGCCCAGCACGAAACAGCAGTGAGCCAAAGTGCAGGAAGTCGAGCAGCAGTTGCTAACTGGTACAGTAGCCACATCCTGGTGTGTTTTGAAGGAAGATTATGTCGCAACAAAGATAGACCTTAAAGTCACCCTCCACCCAAGGATATGTTTTTCTTCCCAGACAGTTGGATGCTTGAGTTTCACTGTGCAAAATGCTGTGCAGGGTTTGACACTAGAAGGATGTTTTCTCATTCATCCGGTGAAAGTGGAAAGTTTCTCTGTGCTCATAGAAAATCTGGTTTTAAGGGGCGGAGCCTACGTGCATGATTTTGTGACATCATGCCAGTCCCAGTCCTCCATGCAACTTATACACGTGTAGAAACTTGAAGCCACCATTGCACAGACACTGAGAATGAACAGTGAAGTAGGAGACATCTTGTGTCCAGCAGAACAACTTCAAAAAAACAAACAAAGGATTTTTTAAAGAGGAAGAAGGAGTAGGTGCCTTTTTAAAGGTTTTAATGTGGAAGTGCTTTTTTGGGGGGGGAAAACATATCAGACACATTATTGTTCCAGACTTCCTATATATGTCTTAATACGTGTCTGGAGGGGATCTTTAATGGAAAAAAACATACACACATACATACAAAAATGTCATTGTATAAATCCTATGCCATTTGTGTCGACCCCAGCACGTTGGAGGAAAAGCACCTTTTTGTAAAGTTCATTAACATGTAAGTGGCAGTGTGGGTGTTATTGTCTTATCTCTGTAAGTGATATGCAACATTCTGCACATTTAGAGTCATCCAAATTAAGACCCTTGTTTACAGTACCTCTTGCTTCTCAGACTACACCAGTTGACCTCCACTGTAATGGCTGGTAGGAATGCCATTCGTTTTGAATGTATTTGGGTCAAAAATCTAGATAGTGAAATTTGGACCCGATGACGGCACTTCTGGGTAATCTGGGGATCGAAACAATGATGATTGCTCCTTTGGGGACCCTGAATAGCTGCACCATATTTCAAGACAATTACATCCAGAGTGGTCAAGAGTTTTTAAGTAAAAATATTAGCCTCACAGTGGTGCTAGAGGCAAAATTAGACAACCACCAAAGTCTTCAGATTTGATCCAAAAAGGGCCTTGAATATATGTAGCAATTTTCATAGCAATCTAACCAATCGTTTTCAATGTATTTTACTCTAAACCACAAATGTCAACCTCATGGTGGCGCTAGAGGAAAGGTCAGGGGATCACCAAAGGAGCATTTGGGAGCTCGGTCATGAGCTATTTAGGACTCATCCCATATCTATAAGATATACATGGAATTCTGTGAGTGGCTTTTATCTGCAGTGTGTAGCAAGCGCCATATTCACTGATATTAGAGAAGCGTTGTTGAAGTTGCAGAATCTTCCTTCTCCCTTTCCTTCCTTTGTCACATCTGGTCAGTCTGTTAACAAACACAGGCTGTGGTAACTGTTACACAAGCAGCACACACACACACACACACACACACACACACACACACACACACACACACACACACACACACTAGTGATGTGATGCAAGTCTTCTAGCTGAGTTGAAGAACTATGCTGTTGCCTCAGACTCGTGGTGGGATCCACTGAGAACACAAAACCGAAGAAAGTAAAAGCGTAATCTGCAATTCATTCAAGGAGAAATCTACACTGGCAGCAGTCAGTTTGATAATGTTCTGCTCTGTTTAACCCCTTTTTCCTTTACTTAACATACGTTAATCTTGATAGAGAAATAAAGAAGAATTACAAACCATGTCAATAATGGTTAAGTGTAATAATGCAAAAGTGTAGGATCCATTCAGTCGACAGGAGCAGCAACAGTAACTAAGGGAATTAAATACATATTGGCTCTGTGAATGTGTAGACCAATTCACCGATATGGAAACTAACCTAACTTTGTCTTTTCACTTTCTCTTCCCTTTTCCCCTTTTCCTCTCTGACCAGACACCATGGATATACTGTTATCTACCTCATATGCATAGTTAAAGGCCCAGTGTGTTACAATTAAGATGATCTGTTGGCAGAACTGGAATATAATATTCACAGGTATGTTTCCATTAGTGTAAAATAAGAATCGTTGTGTTTTTGTTACTTTAGAATGAGCCTTTTTTATCGACAGAGGACTTGGATCCTCTTTCTACGGAGTCTGCCATGTTGAACCACCATGTTTCTACAGTAGCCCAGAAGGGACAAACTGAAAACTGGCTTTAAATAGGGCCTTTCGCAATTTTTGTGAGTTTCACAGACACCTCCTACATGCTTGTAACAGGAGGGTGAGAGTGGAGTTTGTAATCTGTAACTTCACCACTATATGCCACTAAGTCGCTCACATTTGTCCTTTAAAGCGATAAACTTTAAGTGAGGGAGGTGGGCGCCGGTGCCTGTCCTCTGTGTGTGGGCAACTGAACATGTGACGTGTCCCATGTCAGTCAGTTTGGTAGGATTTGCGTATAAATAAATGATTTCATTTGAATTGTGAATTTTTATTTTGGGATATTATTCATCTTTTTTGCATGCAAAATAGATCTACCCATCAAGCGGACATAAAGTTGTTGAAAATGCCTTTTAAACTTCAGCTTGCAAGTTAAGGACAGAAAGTCTTGTTAGTAGGCTATGCTATTGAGTAGGCTAGTGGCTAATGCTAGCAGCTAGTCGAGAGGGAGAGAGAGAGACCAGTGTGATGATCAGCTAAGGAGAACAGAGCTGGGTGAGCATTATAAACTGTGAATGTAGCTTTACTGTATATTAGCTGTTACACTTTGCAATAAAAAGAGATAATGCAGTCATCTGTGCAAAGCAGATTTCCTGAATTTTGTGAAGGCTAGATACATTTAGGCTAGCTCATTTTAGAGCCATGAATGAGCCCAGTTTATTCCACGGAGCAGTAAATGTGTCTCACACCTTTTCAACAGCTGTGGCTTAAGCTTTGATATTGTTTTATTTTAATTCAATTTCTTTT